GTAACCTAACACTACCCATCAGACACAAAGGCTGATGAGTAGTGTTAGGTTACAGCTAACAATGAGTAATGGGATGCATAGTATGATCATAAGGTGTTCTTTAAATTAGGGTCCTTCTTAAGGTAAGGTCATAAAGTGTTATTTAAATTACTTTAGGGCCCTTTTTAAAACTATCTTAAGAAATCAAATGGTGGCAGTTAATCTGTAGAAAACAAAACAAGGGGGCTATTTGTAAAACACATCAAAAGAAAAGGATTAGTGGGACTAACTCTTGACAAGGTCCACTGAGGTTAATATGAAGTTAACAATTATGGCTATAACTGTCTCCATTTGTCTGGGAAAGAAGACTCCTTTAGTAGTGCAGGCACACTAAGGTAACTTCTGACAAGCTACTAACCCCAGTGACCACATTAACATCGCATTGACTTGTAGATGAAGCCCCCCTAAATACGATGGCCACCATGACAGTTCTGGAGAGGACCAATTAAGGTAAAAAACTCCACTGCCCCACGTAAAGTAGGAGTTGAACACCTGATTGGTGAAGGGTGCTAAAGGAGGACCCCAGTTTTCCGTCAAACATAAAACAGTAATAAATCTGGGGACTGAAAGGAAAGTGAGGAACTGGGAGACGGGCAAACAAGAAATGAAAGACAGAGACCAGGCAGAGATACACACGAGTTTATTTGTCAGAGCTGACAAATAAAGGCACATCTCTCCATAGATGGAGAGGCAAAACAGGGTTGGGGTTCTGGACTTTTATGTGACAGGCTCAGGGATAGAGCTGGGTAGGTCCTAATGCGGAGGTGAAGTGTTGGGTTGGTATGAGGGAATTCTGAACCTTTCTCAGAAAGGCCCTTGAGCAGGAAAGTGAAATTTTTCTTAAAATGTCTACTGGCTAAGCAAGGAACTTATAGGGGCAGCATTGGCTCCTTTGTTGTTCTCTGTTTAGAGACAGCCCACTCTCCCAGAGAGTGCTTTCTGCTTGAACTTCACTTTGCTTTTCCTTTATTTTCTCATGCGTGAACTTATAATAAAGTTCTCTTGCATGACTTTTGGTGTCTGACTTTAAATTTTCTTTCACTGGAACACAAGAACCGAGGTTTGGAGTTTTAGCTCCCTGCTTTCCTGTGACAGGTAGCAGAGTAGTCTATATGGCTACACATTCCTTCACTTTATTTACCTTCTTCCTCATTTGCCTTTTTTCATTCACACAGAGAAAAGTGTCTTCTTTCTGTGTGATACATTTTGTCCCTTGAAAGGGCCTTAAATGAAAACAATTTGAGCTTGAACAAAATATAAATTATTTAATTGTAAATACTATAAATATTTTACTTCTACAATAAGAAAATGTTACTTTCAGAATTTGTAAGAATGCCTGATTAAAATTCAAAAATGCTGTGAATAGTGAAAATGGAATATGATATTTGTATTCTTTATGGTAAAGTTCTTGCTTAGCATCTGGATGACCATCTTAAATGACAGTGCCTTTTTAAGTGCTTTTTCACTTTCCCACCCGAGGGACTTTCTGAGAAGGGCTCATCACTCCCTCATACCAAACCCACCCTTAACTGCCCATATTAGGACCCACTCAGCTATAATCCCTGAGCCTCCCCCATAAAAGTCTCAAACTTATGTTGCCTCTCTCCATCTATGGAGAGATGGCCTTTATTTGTCAGCTCTAACAAATAAACTCTCCTGTGTATCTCTGCCTGGTCTCCATCTTTCATTTCTTGCTCACCCATAGCCCTGTTTCTCACTTTCCTTTCACTTATCAGCATATTTTTTAACATATCTGGCATGGTCCTAGATATTTTTCTTATGGTATCCTTTTTTTGTTTGCAGATATTTATTTATTTATCATGCTAGGCTTCCCCACATACACCTTATTTAAAATTGCAATTTCTATTTCTCTCTCCTAAATTTCCTGTCCCACTTTTTGGATGTATATTTTTCCCATGGTATCTATCACTATGTAACTAACACTGGTAACTTCACCTCCTAATGTAGCCCTCATTGCTCTCAGGCTATTTTTTAATGTTTTTTTTTTTCTTTCTTCTCCCCTCCCCATCCCTAACAAGATTGGGAAGACAGTGTTATCTTTCCTTCCCCTAGTTAATTGCCCTTGAACAGACCCACTACAGAAAAGAGATGCCTGCTGAGGTTCTGCAAAGTGAATATCTTCCAAATTAACAAGTGGACCCTAACAAGCCATCAGAGTGTCCTGGAGCCCCCTACCAGAGCACACCTGGAATATAACCCTTGAAATTCCTTTAAAATACCCCTGTCCCTCCTAATTAGGAGAGTCACAGACTTTGGGACAGAAGTCCCCTGTGTTTCTCCTTCACCAGCAAAGCAATAAACCATTTTCCTTTTTCTCAAAACTGTATACTCATTATTAAATTGGCATTGATTGGCAATAGGTACAGGGACTAAGGATGGAACTCCAGAGAAGCCCCTGCTCTATTTTTCTAGGGCAGGCCTGGCACTCTAAGCAAGTGTATTTCCATGCTGAGAATGTAAGGTAAACTTATTGAGAGCTGACTACTGGAAAGTTAGGAGATGGGTAAATGTTCCTGGGGTCAAACCAAAACAGAGGAGCTATTCCTGTAAGTAAGGGAGGCACTGAGGGACTCCCAGAAGCTCTTGAAGCCCCTTTTGCTTCAGTAATTCCTACCTTCCTTCCCTGCACTATAAGAATTGCTCCATCTTGGTCTACTTTGAGTAAAAGGAAACTGAATGCAGTAAAGTCACAACACCTTGGCCATTTGGTAGCTCCCCCATGTGCACACTGAGACCCTTTATTTTACACTTCTGGTTCACCTTTGTGGGACCATCTTGTCCCCTCATGGTGACTGACATCTGTGGTACCACTGGTGTAAAAGTCATGGTTAAGTGGGAGTTGGAAACTTGGGGAGATTTTCCCCCTATCTGGTGTGTCTGTTTTAAAGTTTCCCACCTTTTGGCCATGGTCTGGGGATCATCTCTGTTTGTTTGTATCTGTTTCTGGCCCTTTAAAACATGGACAATAGTGTATTGATCCTATGGATTGTTTCTTGGGAACACATTGGCTGAATGGACCACCTATAGATATAAATGTGTCTAAGAAAAAAGATGATGTTTTACTGTAACAATCTGGTCTTTGAATGGTTTTGTGATTTATTGTACAATCTTGCAGATGGGAGTTGGTTTGTCAGATAAAAATAAGTTAATAAGGAATCTTAACAGTCAAAAACTAAGTTGGATGCAAAAGGTGCTGCCTCTAATGTGTAAGCATAGCAGAATACCAAAGATGATTGAAAACAAAAAATCAAAAAAAGCTGCCTGGTATATAGAGAAATGGGCAAAACGACCAGGTCTCTACTCTGCTTTGTAGCCACTCTTTGCACATGGGAATAAAATTGAAGTTTGAGAACAGGGCTCAGTTTGCTGTTTCTGTAGTCAAATGAAATATATGTGGGAATGTAGGTCGCATAGATTTTCTTTCTGGGTTCTTATCACATGGATTCAAAGAATGAAATCCATGGATTATGGCAGAGGATAAAAATTAAAATTAGTTTTGAATGAGAGGGAAAAAATGAAACTCTTCTTCATGTGAGGGATAAACTGGCAGAAAGCATTTTCACTTGAGTATACTAGTCTGGGGACTTAAGGTTCTGAATAAAGCACTGATCAAAGTCCATGTTAAATAAACATTAAAAGTGTTGGAATTAATTGTTGGAATCTATGCTGTACAGATGTTGTGAAAGTATGAAAGCTACTGGCTTGGCCCATGACTTTCTATTTGGCTGTATGCTTTTAGTCCTTAAACCTGATTTTTTTCTTTTGTAATTCCCATTTGGATCCACCCCATTTCCATTTTCCCACCACTCTGGGGACAGAGGAGTGGACCAGAATGCTTAACCTCAGAGGGTTGCCTTTATTTAAAGAAAAAAAAACTTATCTAGGGTCCATTACATTCATTGTCTGATGATTAACTTGCCTGTCTTAATGAGGGGTTGAGAGACCCCAGCCCAATAACTTAGGCCCAGTTACAAAATCATTAGGGCATGCTACAAACCTGCGCAGGCACCAGATGTGTTTTTCAGATAACCAGTTAACAGGCACCAGATGTGGTTTTCAGATAACCAGTTAAATGTAACCGATTAGGAAAGAACAGGATGGTTGGGAAAGAACCGGGTAATTGTGTCCCAGGGCACGATTGGGCAAACCGGAACAGATAAGCAGGAACAGAAAGAATGGAATGTAAAACTGTGGGTTTTCCAGGAACATACAGTGAAAAACAACCTTGCTCTTTAGGTGACCTATATGCTAGGTTCAAAATGACCAATAAGAAACCTGTTGCTTGCCGCGTGCGCGAAACCTGCTCCTTTACCCCATAAAAGATCTGTGCCCCAAAGCCCGGTGTGCCAGTTCACCGAAGCTCCGGCTGAGGTTCTGCTGCGCACCCGCAGGCGCCTGTGTCCTAATAAACCGCCTCTTGCTTTTGCAGCCAGTGTCTCGTGTGCTTTTCCTTGGACAGGGAATCGGAGGGTCTTTCATATGGAGGTTCCACCGAGATTTCCTGCACCCTCGTCCGGATCCCTTCCCGGGGAACGCCTGGCATCACTGGGAGGTAAGCTGGCCAGCTCGTGTCGTTTTGTGCGTTTTGTGTCTCTTTTGTTCTATGTTTGCAGTCTCCAATCGTTATCTGTCTGTGCGCAGCGTCTGTACGATTACGCGTAGTCGCTCTGTTTTCTGGGCAGCTTGAGAAGGAGTTGACGAACTCGGACTTCTCCCCTGCCACCCTGGGAGACGTCCCAGGGATTCAGGAGGCCCATTTTTGGGGGGCCTCTAGTGTTTCCGAAGAATACACTGTTCTTGTGGGTGACGGAGTCCCTCCTCCCCCTAATCCATCAGATACTTTCGGTTTGTGCCGGGGCTGTGCAGCGTTCTTTGTGTCCAGTCTGATTTTTGTATCTGTCTCCTTGCCCTTGTACTTTCTCATTCCATCTGAGACTAACATGGGACAATCTATAACAACTCCCTTGAGTCTTACTCTTGATCACTGGCAGGACGTCCGGAACCGGGCTAACAACCGGTCAGTAGAAATCAAAAAGAAAAGATGGATAACACTCTGCACCACGGAGTGGCCAACGTTCGATGTTGGCTGGCCAAAAGAAGGGACGTTTAACCTTGATCTTATTTCACAGATGAAGTCTCAGGTTTTCACCCAAGGTCCTCAAGGACACCCCGATCAAGTGCCCTACATTGTTACCTGGGAAGATCTGGCCTCCGACCCGCCTCCTTGGGTCGCCCCTTTCTCTCCACCTAAGCTTCCTCCCCGTTCTCCCCTTGAAGCCCCACCCCCACCTTCTGCTCCACTTATCCCGATACCCGCACCCCCTCCTCAAACCTCTAGGCTTTACCCTGTTCTAGATAAACCTGAAAACGTGACCCCAGCAGGAACAAAACCCAAGAAGGTCTTACTACCAGAGGATTCAACTCTTATAGACCTGATGACTGAAGAACCCCCACCTTACCATCCCCAACCTTTACCAGTTCCAGATCCTATCCAGGTTTCTTCAGAAGAAGAAGAACAAGAGGGTCTTTCAACTACCAATGCCCCTCCGGGCCCATCCCCCATGGTGGGAAGACTTCGCGGGCGCCGAGAACCTACCGCCCCAGGGGATGCTTCAAGGGCCTTCCCCTTGCAGCAGACAGGAGGACCTAACAGCCAATATCAGTACTGGCCTTTCTCAGCCTCTGATCTTTATAACTGGAAAACCCACAATCCCTCCTTTACTAATGATCCTGTAGCCCTAACTTCCCTGATTGAATCTATTCTAGTGACTCATCAACCAACATGGGACGATTGTCATCAGCTTTTGCAGACTCTCCTCACTTCAGAGGAGAGACAAAAAGTTCTCTTAGAGGCCCGTAAAAATGTGCCTGGAGATGATGGGCACCCTACCCAACTCCCAAACTTGATCAATGAAGCTTTTCCCTTAATTCGACCGGATTGGGACTATAATACTGATGCAGGTAGGAACCACCTACGTCTCTATCGCCAGTTACTTATAGCGGCTCTCCATGGAGCAGGGCGACGGCCCACCAATTTGGCCCAGGTAAGACAGACCACCCAGGGCTCAGAGGAAACTCCCACCGCATTCCTAGAGAGACTAAAAGAAGCCTATCGGAGATACACTCCTTTCGACCCCGATAGTGAGGATCAGAAGGGAAACGTATCCATGGCTTTCATTTGGCAATCCGCTCCAGACATTAGGACCAAGTTGCAAAAATTAGATAACCTACAAGACTTTACTTTAACGGACTTATTGAAGGAAGCAGAAAAGATTTTTAATAAGAGAGAAGCCCCAGAGGAAAAGGAAGAAAGGATCAGAAAAATGCAGGAAGAAAGAGATCTTAAATTTAGAGAAGAGTTAGATAAGAGAGAAAGAGAAAAAGATCGAAAGCATAATAAAGAATTAAGTAAGATATTGGCCACTGTAACTCAGGCAGGGCAACGAGGAGATAGAACAGGTAGGGAAAGGGAACGAGGCAGACCCGGTATAGACCGAGATCAATGTGCCTACTGCAAGGAGAGAGGACATTGGGTTAAGGACTGTCCAAAGAAACCCCCAATACCCGAAGAGGAACTAACCGGACCCCTCAATTACTAGCCCTGGATGAAGATTAGGGGAGTCAGGGCCAGGAGCTCCCCCCTGAGCCCTGGGTAACTTTGCAAGTAGGGGGGCAACCTGTAACCTTCCTAGTAGATACTGGAGCCCAACATTCGGTGTTAACACGAACGCCAGGACCCATGAGCCACAAAACGACGTGGGTCCAAGGCGCCACTGGAAGCAAGCCGTACCGATGGACCACCAAGAGAGAAGTACACCTTGCTACAGGTAAAGTTTCCCATTCGTTTCTGCATGTGCCTGATTGTCCATATCCACTACTAGGAAGAGACTTATTAACCAAGTTAAGAGCTCAAATCTATTTTAAAAATGGGAGTGCCTCCATTACGGGACCAGATCAAGCCCCTTTACATGTATTAACGTTCAAATTAGAGGATGAATATAAACTTTTTAGCAAACCTCCTACACTTGACAAGGACATAAACTATTGGCTTGAGTCCTACCCGGAGGCATGGGCTGAAACTGGTGGAATGGGGATGGCTAAACAACAACCTCCAATAGTCATTTACCTAAAAACCACTGCTACTCCTGTAAATATTAAACAGTATCCTATGTCAAGAGAAGCTTACCAAGGCATCAGGCCACATATCAAATGCCTCCTAGACCAAGGAATTCTAACCCCTTGCCGGTCGCCATGGAACACCCCATTGTTACCAGTAAAAAAGCCGGGAACAAATGATTATAGGCCTATCCAGGACTTAAGAGAGGTAAACAAAAGGGTAGAGGACATCCACCCCACGGTGCCTAACCCCTACAATCTCCTCAGCACCTTGCCTCCCACCCATACTTGGTACACCGTTCTAGACTTAAAAGATGCCTTTTTCTGTTTGAGACTGTGCCCTCAAAGCCAGGCCCTCTTTGCATTTGAATGGAAAGATCCCAACGAAGGGGTCTCCAGTCAATTGACCTGGACCAGACTGCCACAAGGGTTCAAGAATAGCCCGACGCTCTTCGATGAAGCCTTACATAAGGACCTGGCCAATTTCCGCGTAAGACACCCCTCCTTAATTATGCTCCAATATGTAGATGACATCCTGTTGGCTGCTACCACCGAGGAGGATTGTCTTACAGGTACGGAGGCATTATTGCGAACTTTGGGACAGTTGGGGTACAGGGCATCGGCTAAAAAGGCACAAATCTGTCAGACAAAAGTTACTTACCTTGGCTATGAACTTCATAATGGCCAACGATGGCTAACCACAGCCAGAAAAGAAACTATCTCAAGCATACCAACTCCCCAGAACCCTAAACAACTACGGGAATTTCTGGGCACAGCAGGTTTCTGCAGACTTTGGATTCCTGGGTTTTCCGAGATAGCGGCCCCTTTATACCTGCTAACCAAACAAAGTAACCCCTTTACCTGGACTGAGAAGCACCAATTGGCATTTGATCGTATCAAATTGGCCCTTCTGTCAGCCCCCACCTTAGGCCTACCAGCCGTTACCAAGCCTTTTGACTTGTTTGTGGATGAAGAACAGGGCTATGCTAAAGGAGTCCTAACCCAAAAACTGGGACCCTGGAGGCGTCCTATAGCCTATCTGTCCAAGAAATTGGATCCAGTGGCGTCAGGATGGCCACCATGTCTTCGAATGATAGCAGCAGTGGCTATCCTAATTAAGGATGCCACTAAGCTGACTCTGGGACAGCCATTAACTTTGTTAACCCCTCATGCCATCGAGGCAATAATTTGCCAACCACCTGACCGCTGGGTGTCCAACGCCCGACTCACCCATTACCAGTCCTTGCTGCTGGACACGGACCGGATTCAGTTCGGCCCCATGGTCACACTGAACCCAGCAACCCTCCTGCCGCTTCCTGGAAAAGCAAATCCCCACAACTGCCAGCAGATTCTTGCAGAAACACAAGGAACCCGACCAGACCTCACGGACCAACCTATGAAAGATGCAGAACTGGTCTGGTACACCGACGGGAGCAGTTATTTGCTCAATGGGGAACGGCGAGCAGGAGCAGCCATCACCACCGAATCTGAGGTAATCTGGGCGAGTGCATTGCCGGGTGGAACCTCAGCTCAGCGGGCAGAACTAATAGCTCTGACACAAGCCTTAAAGTTGGCTGAGGGAAAGAAGCTAAATGCGTATACGGACAGTAGATATGCCTTTGCCACTGCTCATATACACGGGGAAATTTACAGACGGCGAGGGCTACTAACTTCAGATGGGAAAGAAATCAAAAATAAGACTGAAATATTGGCCTTACTTAAAGCTCTATTTCTGCCTAAAAAGTTAAGTATCATGCATTGCCCTGGCCATCAAAGAGGAGATACTCCGGAGGCCAGGGGAAACAGATTGGCCGATGAGACAGCCAGAAAAGCAGCCCAGGGGCCTCAACTCTTGGTAATGACTTTATTGCCCCAACGGGCTAACCCACAGCATGATGACTATGAGGATAAATGGGTCTATGAGGACCAAGATCTGGATATCATACAGAAGCTAGACGCCTCTTACAACCCAGAGGACCATACCTGGGAATATCAGGAAAAAACCATAATGCCCCTTAAAAATGCTAAAAAAATTAGTAAAATCATTACACAAACTGACACATCTTGGGGCTAAAAAGATGAAAGAACTCTTAGACCGTGGAGAGGGTACTCTATATCTTCCAAATAGGGATCGACTCCTCCAGCGAGTTGCAGAAAATTGTCAGGCATGTGCCCAGGTAAATGCTGGTAAAGTTAAACTTGGAACAGGAGTCCAGGTTCGAGGACATAAACCCGGGACACATTGGGAAATAGACTTCACTGAAGTCAAACCTGGTATGTATGGATATAAATATCTTCTAGTCTTTGTTGATACTTTTTCCGGATGGGTAGAGGCATTCCCCACCCGGCATGAAACTGCCAAAACCGTTGCTAAGAAGCTATTGGAAGAAATTTTCCCAAGGTATGGGGTACCCGGAACAATTGGGTCAGATAACGGGCCTGCCTTCGTCTCCCAGGTAAGTCAGGCGGTGGCCAATTCGCTGGGGATTAATTGGAAGTTACATTGTGCATATAGACCCCAAAGCTCAGGGCAAGTAGAAAGAATGAATAGAACAATCAAGGAGACTTTAACTAAATTAACGCTTGAAACTGGCACTAGAGACTGGGTACAACTCCTACCCTTAGCTTTATATCGGGCCAGAAATACTCCTAGCCCTCAGGGACTAACCCCATTTGAAATCCTATATGGTGCCCCACCACCTGCTGTTAATCTCTATGAAACTGAAATTTCTGCCTCCCTCACCCCATCTGTGCAGACTCATTTACGCGCACTGCAATTGGTCCAGAACGAGGTCTGGAAGCCATTAGCAGCGGCATATAAAGAAGAACTCAAAACCCCTTCGGTGCCACATTCCTTCAAAATCGGGGACACTGTCTGGGTACGCAGACACCAGAACAAGAACCTTGAACCCCGGTGGAAAGGACCCTACACCGTCCTGTTGAACACACCTACTGCAATCAAGGTGGATGGCATCGCAGCCTGGATTCACACTTCTCATGTAAAGGCTGCACATCCACAAGACCCAGCGGTTACTCCCCGAGACTCGGGATGGAAATTGCAGCGTACTCAAAACCTGCTAAAGATAAGACTTACGCACTGTTAACCGCCTTTGCTCTTTGCTTTGCTCCCCTTGTCTTAGGTAGTAACCCCCATGCTCCCATGAAGTTAACTTGGCAGGTATACTCTCAAACCGGGGAGATAATTTGGTCTATTACAGCAACCCATACCCCTGGCACCTGGTGGCCTACCCTGACCCCGGACTTTTGCCAACTAGCCGCTGGATTAGACTCATGGGACATTCCTGACAAGGCATATGACCAACTCCAGACCTACATGGCCCCTAGGCCCCAGCAAGGCACTAATTATGGATGCTCTACCCAGGTAGCTAGGTGCCAGCTAGCCCAAACTGATTTTTATGTCTGCCCCTGGGACGGTAGAGACAGATCCCAGGCATACAAATGTGGGGGCTATGAAACATACTTCTGCTCCTCCTGGGGCTGCGAAACCACCGGAGATGCATACTGGAGCCCCACCTCAAGCTGGGACCTGATACAGGTGGCCAAGAATTTCACAACCCCCAGCCCAGATGGCCACACATGCTATAGGGAAAACTCACAATTTCAGGTGGGCCAATCGCTTCCCCTTAAGATACAATTCACGGACAAAGGCAGGGAGACTATCGATCCCTGGCTTACTGGTAGAACATGGGGACTCAGATGGTATTTGCCTGGAAATGATCGGGGTGTGACTTTCAAAATCAGACTATCCCAAACCCCAGCAATGATTAGCTCGATAGGACCTAATTCCATACTCGGAGACCAAAAGGTCCCTTCACAGCCTAAACAGCCCAAGGGCTTGGCAAAGGTTCCCTCCAGTAAGCCGCCCGAGCCTCAAATTGTAACTATGGATTATCAAACCTCTAGTTATTCCCCTGAGCCCATTCACCCTGGGACTGGAGATCGATTGTTAAATTTGATTCAAGGAGCATTTTATGCCCTCAACGCCACCAACCCAGATCGCACCCAAGATTGTTGGCTGTGTCTCACCTCCGGCCCACCCTATTATGAAGGGATAGCAATTATGTCTAACTGGAACAGTAGTACAAGCCCTGACCCTAAGTGTATATCCCTACCAAGCTATAAGCTTACCATAACTGAAGTTACAGGACAAGGGGTCTGTATGGGAAACGTACCCCCATCACACCAACATCTCTGTAATACCACCCTCCCAGTGACAGGCTCACAAAATAACTATTTGTGGGGTCCCCACGGAACTTACTGGGCCTGCAATACTGGACTGACCCCTTGTATTTCTACGGCAGTCCTCAATGCAACCACTGATTTTTGCGTATTAATACAATTATGGCCTAAGATATCATATCTAGGGTCAGACTATGTCCTAGAACACCTTGAGGGACGGAAGAGGTACCCTAGAGAGCCCATAAGCATGACCATAGCTCTACTACTAGGAATTGGAGGAATAGCAGCCGGAATAGGAACAGGAACTGTTGCGCTAGTACAAGGTAACCAATTATTGCAACTACAGGCAGCAATGAACGAGGATTTAACTGCAATGGCCAAGTCTATCACAGCCCTAGAAAAATCTTTCTCCTCCCTCTCGGAAGTAGTGCTGCAGAATAAGAGAGGATTAGATCTGTTGTTCCTCAGAGAAGGTGGTCTTTGTGTAGCCCTTCAAGAACAGTGTTGTTTCTATGCTGACCATACTGGAGTAGTCAGAGAAACTATGGAAAAGGTCACTGAAAGGTTGGCCAAGAGACAAAAAGAATTTGAGGCTCAACAAGGATGGTTTGAACACTGGTTTAGTAAATCCCCATGGTTAACTACTCTGCTATCTACCATAGCAGGACCTTTGGTTATTTTGCTGTTACTCCTGACATTCGGACCTTGTATACTTAATAGACTAGTGCAGTTCATGAAAGAAAGACTTTCCATAATCCAGACTATGGTTCTAACTCAACAATACCAGTTGCTTAAGCAACAAACAGGGTCGCAGACGAGCCTGGTTCAAGACCCGGAACAAGCAGACAGATGGATATAAGATTCTATCCATGTTCAAGAAAAAGGGGGGAATGAGAGACCCCAGCCCAATAACTTTAGGCCCAGTTACAAAATCATTAGGGCATGCTACAAACCTGCGCAGGCACCAGATGTGTTTTTCAGATAACCAGTTAACAGGCACCAGATGTGGTTTTCAGATAACCAGTTAAATGTAACCGATTAGGAAAGAACAGGATGGTTGGGAAAGAACCGGGTAATTGTGTCCCAGGGCACGATTGGGCAAACCGGAACAGATAAGCAGGAACAGAAAGAATGGAATGTAAAACTGTGGGTTTTCCAGGAACATACAGTGAAAAACAACCTTGCTCTTTAGGTGACCTATATGCTAGGTTCAAAATGACCAATAAGAAACCTGTTGCTTGCCGCGCGCGCGAAACCTGCTCCTTTACCCCATAAAAGATCTGTGCCCCAAAGCCCGGTGTGCCAGTTCACCGAAGCTCCGGCTGAGGTTCTGCTGCGCACCCGCAGGCGCCTGTGTCCTAATAAACCGCCTCTTGCTTTTGCAGCCAGTGTCTCGTGTGCTTTTCCTTGGACAGGGAATCGGAGGGTCTTTCAGGGTAAAAAATAAAACTGTCAGTCACAAGGAAATGGGCAATAGATCCCAGTACTATTAAATAAAATTATAATCTGCAAACAAAATAGTCTCCACTTTTTAATCACAGGATGCCCTATTTGGCCAGAGGACACTTCTGGGTACAGCTCTACCTGTTGCCTAAAAACCTAAAATACAAGAGCCTCCCTGAATCTGCATGAATTCAAGCACCTATGTCATGGCTCCACTAATTTCTGCAGAGTGAGGTCCCTAACAATCTTTCTATGGTCAATGTGACCTTCATTGGAAAGAATGCTCTAGATACATACATATATAAAGAGAGAATCTCTAAGTACAATTGACAGTGAGGAACTTGCTTAAAGTTGATGGCATTATGATGATGGTAAGGGAGACTGGTCGAATAATACCCTGTGTTCTAACCCCTTGAGTGCAAACTGGAAGGGGAAAATATTTAAGGCACAGTTTTGTTGTTGTTGTTGTTGTTTTGGGTTTTTTTGTTTGTTTGTTTTTTAATATGCCAGGTTGTCTGATCCCTTTCCTGGGATAAAATTTGTTATGTAATTAAATGTACAGATAGCATGTTCTCCCAAAAATTAACAATTTCATTTGCAAGTGCCTTTCTGGAAAAGAAAACAGAACCTGCTCTGCTGGAGGTCTCCTTGAAGTGAATAAGACCTTTTAGGCCAAAGGGACCCTGAGAAAATGATCAATGTTATCTTAATCAATATTTTATTTTAGGAGGAAAAACATTTCCACCTGGGTCAGGGGGATATCTCCTTAAGAAAGAAATATTAGTGGGGATTCTTGGGATTCATTCTCTTCTGGAAAGTTGTTTAAAATGTGAATTCAGTCAGCTTTTTCAGATATCCTACTCTGCCTATCCTTTCCATTTAAAAAAAAAAAAAAACTCATACTGATGAGTAACAATTTGTGCAAGGCTCGAAACCTATAAAATATTAAAGTGTGATATTCATTAGTTTTAGGGTTTTTCTTTATTAGAGAAAAGATAACTTATAATTTTAATCAGGCTTGATTTTTTTCATGAATAACCTGAATATATGTGACTAGAGATATGTATACATCTAAAACTAAATATATTTGTCTGAGCCTTATCTAAATGTTCTGTAAAAGCTTATAAAATAAGGGCTGGGGTTGTGGCTCAGTGGCAGAGTGCTTGCTTCGCATGCATGAGGCCCTGGGTTCAATCCCTAGCACCACATAAAAATAAATAAATAAATAAAAGTGAAGATTCTGTGTTCATGTACAACAAAAAAAAAATATTTTAAAAAAAAAAGCTTATAAAATAAAAGTTCGTATAGGTTTAACCAATAAGGCTATCACTTATATACTGCATCTGTCATAAAAAGGCAACACTGTCATTTGAGAAATTGGCTTATATTGATCTGTTTAAATAAGTCTATTTCTGATCATTAACACTGTTCCCTTAATGTATAAGAGATTTAAGTCTATCCTTTGATTTCTGTTAGTATTGCTAAACTCTGCAACCCTGTAATGATCAATGAATTCTGGATTTTACTGTGAAAAAATTAAACCTAGTTAATATAAGGACATCTGTGTAATGGTGATATTAACTATTAGTTCTTTGTATATTAACTATACTTATGTTCTTCTAGTATACAAGTTTTAAAATATAAAGCTTGGAACCAAGCTAATGTTCTCCAAACTAAAGTTGTCTGAAATGGTAATTTTAAACATAAAGAAATAAAAACTTTAAATTTTTTTTAGTTGTAGATGGGCACAATATCTTTATTTTTATTTGTTTATTTTTATGTGGTGCTGGGAACCAAACCCAGGGCCTCATGCATATGAGCCAAATGCTCTACCACTGAGCTGCAACCCCAGCCCAAGAAATAACAAATTTAATTGGAGATTTATTTATGTCACTTAATGTTCTGTAACAGGACCTGTTTCAATAAGATGTATGTAAAATTTCATGTTATTTTTGGCCCTGGGGTAGAAATTGAAATGTATTTTTAAATAAGGGTTAAAAGCTTTTTAAGTTTTTCTTTGATTCATATTTCAGATGTAATGATGTGTTATTTGTGAAGAGCCCTGCTTTACCTGAGATAAGGCTCTGACTCCCACCTTACCCCATGTTAGAATGGCTAGACTTTAGCTCATTTAAAGTTGTGTTCAAAAGATTATTTTTTGTTGTAAAGATTACTGTGATCTCAAACAGGGGATATAATATAAAACTAAGTAAAGGTTCAAGATTATAAAAGTCATTTTTCTTGGTTCATAGCTATTACATAAATTAAATATGTTTTTGCTCTGTTAATTTAATTTTGTATTTTCCTTGTAAACTTTATAACCATGAAGCTAGATAGGCAAGGGTCAGATCCAGAGAATGGAAGCATATAAAGCTGGGTTTATTTAAAAATGGGTAACATAGACTTCTCCCAGGAGGGAGAAGAAGCCATGGCTGGTATCCTGGTATCCCAAGAAGCGACT